CCAGAAAGTGTAGGACGAGTGATTAAACAATCCCTTTGCAAAGAAGGCACATCTCAACCTAGGATTTAAACAGTGGTATGCATGGGGGGGAGTTGTTCTGTCCTACTGGCAATATCATGCCTGAGGTACATGTGTGAAGGGTGGCTCAGACATCCTTGATCCTGCCTCTCTGCATCTCCTTTGAATTTCCTTTCTCTTCCCCTTCTCTATGATTATGTTAACTGGATTTCATAATTTAGCTCCCTGGTGTTTTAATTTTATAATGTGGCTTTAAAATGCAATAATATGGCTGCAAGTGAAATAAATTCCCTTGTTGGGATGTCTGGGTCAGCACACCACACGAGCAGGGAGCCTGTTCTACACATGAGGCCAAGCTGAGATGTTGGATGGGAGAAAGTACACCCTTGAGATGGCAGGGATGCTGGCAGCCATGGGAAGCACCAGAGAAAGCAGGTCAATTCATTGTGCCTTGTGCCAGAGCACTGGCTCACTATCATTTATTTGGGCACAAGAAGCAGCAAAGTTACACCAAGATAAGGAAGCAACACCCAAACTGTTTGTATAAGATTTCTGGCTCGGCTCCCTCTGGGACTGTGCTTAGTTCTGATGGCTGCACCCCCTGGAGTCAGCCTTATTGCTCATGCAAACATGATTTATTGTCAGAAGGGAAATAAGTGCTGTGCAGGAAGGAGATGAAAGCAACTGAGAATATAAAATAGACTTTTAAAACCTCGTATTTATTACATTAACCCTTAAATGTTTCCCAGCCAGTGGTTCCAATTGGATTCTGCTACAGGACACTTGCATTTCCTTGTATATTTTAGGGGACTGATGGCTTGCACTTAAAGAACAAGTAGAAATGCTACAAACTACAGAAACAAGCCCAAGACAGAGCCCTCCCCGCATGGATGCTTAAAATTTAATTGAGGTACATTCCAGCAGGACGGGATAATTCTTCATGGATTTTAAAACTGGTGGCAGTATTTATCAGCCCAGTTGCTTCTTTGCATTTTTCTCACCTTGTACTTTAAAACTGTCTTCCTACAGCAGCAGCTCTGCTGAGGCTGTTGCACTGCTTTGCTGTGAAGCTTTGCCTGCTTGCAGAAAACTAGAAGGCAGTTTTTAAGATCTGTAAATTTTGGGGAGGTTTAGGTTGGATATTAGGAAAAAACTCTTCATTGGAAGGGTTGAGAAGCCCTGAAACAGGCTGTTTGAACACACCATCCCTGGGAGTGTTCAAAAAAAATGTGTGGATGTGGCACTTGAGGACATGGTTTAGTGGTGAACATAGTGGTGGTGCTGGGATAATGGTTGGACAGTGATCTTACCTGCCCTTTCCAACTTTAATGATTATATGGTTCTACAGTCTTATGTGAAATACCAAACAGGGAATGGTTTCTGAGGCAGCTGACACGCTATAGAGGGTATCTGATCGTACTTTCTTTGAAATGAAAATTCATTCTTTGAGACAAGGGGAAGGATGCATTTGCCACACTGGAAACTTGGAGTGCCTCAGCCTGCAAAGTGCCCAGTGCTTCACATGGGAACCCCCTGCAGCAGTAAATCTCTGAGATTTGTGGGATATCAGAGCACAGTGTTGCCAGAACCTGTGATTTTTGTTGCAAGTCTCATGATATTTCTCATTTTCTTAATCCACAAATGGTAGATTTGGATGATTATGTGAAAATCACAGCTTCTGTTTAAAAATCTGTGTCTCATGCTTGTATTTGAATGGAGAAGTCTCAGTCATGGTGTCAAACAACAGAAAAAACACATCTCTAAAGTTTCTTTGATGGTAATGACATGGTTTAGGGGAAGCCTAACTCATGATTCACAAATAATTGAAGCTGTCAAATGTATGTATGACCTGTCTTCTGTGGCTGAAAGAAAGAGAAATACTATGTTTTGATCTGGATGGAACAGTGAAGCCTGGAAGGAACACCAGAGTATCTACCACAGAGTTAAGATTGCTTTCATGGAGCCTTCCACATGGATTTTTGGCCATGCAGGCTTTCTCCTGGACCCCTGCCCCTTGAGTATCAACCTGGAAGTCTCTAAAGATGCTGTTTCCTCAGCACACTCTGCTGCTGTCAGTCTAACTTTGGGTTATGGTGTAGTATTGGTAAAAGTTTCTGAGAAGCCCAAGACCCAGAAAAGAGGCAGAGCTGTAAAATTCGTGGAACATGACAACCTGCAGGATGTGGCCAATACCACCGGTCTGAAACAAGAGGACACAGGAGAGCAGGAGCCCTCTGGTTACACCAGACATCAGCTGAACAAGATCTAAGTGACTGATGGGTGGAGAGGATGCAGGCACCTCTAACAAGTTTGTTTCCAAAACATCTCAGTCATTAGTGATGTCTTGGAAGGAGAGGAACTAAATGAATCTGTTATCACTTACTGTCAGATGTAAAAGGCTTTCGCGACTAGTTTTTTAAAAAATGTCACATGTCTCAGCTTTTTAATAACTTTAATTAAATGTGACATTTTAATAAACTCCTGCTGTGGGGTGGAGCAGTGCCTTTCCAGTTTAGGGTGGTATTTGCAGTTACACCTCATAATACAGGACTATGTGAAATCTCAAATCCTGTCCACCCCAAACTGATATATGGAACCTGTCTTGTTTCTTCCCTCAGCAATATGAGCAGGTGATCTTTTCTACTTACTTCTAAGAACTATTTTGAAGAGAGAGGTGATTGACAGAGCCAGTGTTGAAAGGCTCTTGTATAATTATTCCTCCAGCAGTAGCCATTTCTGCTGTCACTGCAGCCCAAGCATATCAGCTGGTGGGAACACTGGATAGTTCCCCAGCACATCGAGGTGTTCCAAAAGCCAGTCTCCATTCCTGGTAGCCAATGTTCCTGCAATGATGGAATGGTGCTCTGGCACAGCAGCAAGTGAGGCAGGGAAAGTTCTTCTGGTGTAAAGCAGAGCAGCAGAAGCTTGCTCCCCAGATTTCTGGTGTTCAATATGTTTCAAGGCCAAGGTGATATTGAAAATGCTTACAGCAGTGTGTCCCACAGGATGCATGTTGTATGTATGAGCTGGAGTCTGTAGTGACTTCTAACCCATGCCCAGTGCTGACCTTTCCTTCACACAGCCTGAGGGTTGCATGCTGGCTGCACATCACCCTCTCCATCCTCCCTGGCCTGTGGGGCTCAGGTGAGGCCAGGAGCTGGCACAGGGATGACTCTACATGTGAGGACATGTAGACAAAATGTCTTTGTTCCCTCCCCAGAGCTCTGTGGCATGTCAGTTTGCCAAATCTGTCAGCTGTTTATTTACACACTTATTTTAAGGGGAGGATGCTCAAACAGATTTATTTACTTCCTGCCTTCAAAGAATTCAATTGTTTGGGGATTTTTAAATAATCAGTTGAATATTTTTTTCTCCTGTGTAAAAGTATTTTTTTTCTCCTGTGGTTTGCACTTTACAAGGGATCAGATAAGGAGCCAAGTGTGGTACTGAACATGTTTGTGAAGCTGGCTCTTCGTTATCCTGTGGACAACTTAACAGCCAACACAGTAACTTCTACAATATTTATCAGGACAATTAATGATCAGTATAGGTGGTCTTATTCTATATGCTGATTTTTCCCTTTTGCCAGGAACAAGAGGTACTCAATTTTTCCATTATCTACATTGTCTTGTTTTACTAATGCTGCTGAAATGTCCAAGGATAGGGTGTCATACAGCAGAACTATGGGGTGGGGATGGGTGTAATTCTCCAGGTAAATATGCAGGAAGTTAAAACTGAGCAGGGATTTCCAGACCTGTGGGTGCTCCAGGCTGTCACAGAACCACAGAATCTCCTGAGTTGGAAGGGACCCACAAGGATCCTCAAGTCCAACTCCTGGCCCAGCACAGACACCCCAACAATCCCACCCTATTCCTGAGAGCATTGTCCAAACATTCCTTGAGCTCTGGCAGCCTTGGGCCCTGGGGAGCCTGTTCAGTGCCCGACTATCCTCTGGGGGAAGATGATTTCATCCAAGTCAGTTCTATTCCCATTTAACTGTTTGGCTTAACTGTCTGGAAATAAAGTGCTGGAACTCGCAGCACAGCTTCTGCCTTTGTTTAGAGTCAGAGAATTTTTTTTTCATCTCCTTCTAACCAACAAAGGAATAAAAGGAATTATACCAATAATAATACTATGACTACATAAATATGACTGGAAAGTAATCCATTCTATATTGATGCCTTAAACCCCTAATGTTTTTTTATTTTTCTAATATTTGTAAGACTTGTAAATTTTATAAGTAGTGGAAGTAGATTTTAAAAGCAGCAACCCCCCCCTCCTTTGTCCCTTGTCCCTTTCCCTTTCTCTAGCACCCTTGTTTACACATTCCTTAACCCTCTTGCCCCATTCTATGCTCCCTATATCAATCCTACCCCTGAATATAGCAGAAATGTTTAGTCTTTTGTCAAGGCAAGGCCTAGATTGTTGGCAGAACAGCATATCAGGGCCTAAACCACAGAATATGGTCAAGAATGAGGTAACTATATACCCTTTGTGCTCTGATGAAGAGGAAGGTGGGATGAACACGGGGTCCCAAAAGCCCCAGACCCATTTCTCAGGGGGTGGACCCAGGGTGGACCACAGTAAAGGCCTCAGGGTGGACACATCTGGGATTGGATGGATGGTATTAAAAAATGTGACATCTCAGGCACGGCCGGCACGTCTTGTAACACCTTAGCCTTGGCAAAATAAACCCTTTCTTATCTCGTCCCTAATTAACCGCTCCGGAGATTTTTTCAGCATCAAAATTCCACAGCAACAATATGCAAAGCAACCGTAGAAATTACGAGTACACACACACACACAGGGAAAAAAAACCCTTTTGAGAAAGCAGACACGGTTTTCAGAGCTCAAACCATCAGCAGGAGCAGCGGATGCCGCCGGTGGCAGGGGCTGTGCCGGATCTCGGGCCGTGCTCGCTCCCTCCCCGTTTACTTTCGCTTCCCCAAGCAGCCCGTGACCTCCGCTCATCCAGGCGAGGAGGAGGAGGAGGAGGAGGATTTCCCCCCGCGGGACGTGTGCCGGGCACGGCACAGCCCCCGAAACCGATGGATGATGCTGTACAGAAGATGTAAGTGCATGTTTGTAGCGGGGAATCTGGGCAAAACAACGGGCTGAACAGTCCCAATCTGCGGGAACAGAAGTGCGGGGCCGGAGGGGCAGTGGCTCTGACGGGAGTGGCCAGCCCGACACTGCCTTTTTGCTTCTTAGAGCTTGTTTTTATAAATTATCGACGAAAATGTGCTGAAGGGAGCTTAGTGTGTAATCTGAGCTTTTAAGAAATATTTTATTGTATTTTCTTAAACACAAAGAAAGACTTTATTACAGGAACTCCCTGCGCTATCTGGATTTAATTTGTTGCTAAAGAGATTCAGCCCTCTCGGGCTGTGGGAAAATAACTAATTGTATTGTGATTCAACAGTTAACAGATAAAACAAAGCACTGCATAGCGATGCTGCCAGGACAAGGGTGAGATTTAGTAAGTCAAGTAATTCACTCAAATAAACAAATCGGTCCGTTTGGCGAGGGGAAACAGCACTGGCTTTTGAGATTAGCTAACCAGGAAATGGATCTGCTGGGAAATAAAACATTGTTGGGCAGCTCGCTTCGCTTGGCCACTAAATTAGGAACTCTGAAGTGGATCAGAGTTTTGGAAAGGCGTCGGGCTCTGTCAGGAGGTGGGGGCTTCTCACAGAGCTCCTCGCCCTGGGAGCAGTTTGGAAGCCCCCGTTCCTGTGCCGCAGGAGCGTGAGGATCCGTGGGGCTGTTCGTGCCCAGCCCCTGGCTGAGACCGGCCCGAGGTGTGGCTTCCATGTCCGCTGTGCTGTCTGAATGTCACGGATCACAGCCCGGGAGGGGCTCGGTGCCCAGGGAGGGTGTCCGTGGCTGCTGCCCCTGCCGTGGCCATGTGGCTCCCCCAGGATGCCTTTCCAAGGCAAACCTCACAGCAATCCTGCCGCAGAGGTCTTGCGTGCCACAGGCATGAGGAGGAGATATGTTTAACCTCTGCTTCTTGTATCATTATCCGAGTCTGCAGGACAAAAATATCTCCAGGCGGTGTGGCACTGTGCATCGCAGCACTCCCGAGGGGTTGATTTTCACTCCAATTTCACTCACCGTGTGCTGAAAAGCATTTTAGATTTATGTTAGAGATTTCAGTCTATGTCACATTAAGATGACCAGCTCTTCAGTTTGGTGGTTCAGATTCTGGTAGTTTGAAAAGTTCTAAAAGCTTCTAAATTAGGAATTTCTAAAATTTCTAAAAGTTTCCAGAGAAACTTTATAGCAGAGCACAAAATGCAGTGAATTCACAAAGTTATAAAATGGTCATAAAAACAAATCCTCAGCATACCATTCTGCCATTGCTTCTTAGTACTAGGCAACACTTCTTGCTGTAATATTTTAATATATATATATATGAAATAAAATAATAGAATCACAGAATGGTTTGGTTTGGAAAGGACCTTAAAGATCATCTTGTGCCATGGGCAGGGATACCTTCCACTACACCAGGTAGCTCAGGGCCCCAACCAAAATAATATTAAAAATATATGATGAAAGGATTTATAAAGTGACAATTTCCTTTCCTGTTTCTTTACTAAAATACATTGCCAAAATCACTCTGGTACAGGCATGAGCAAGGCCTCCATGTGCAATAATAATAGTAATTTAAAAATCTATTTTCATGCTGTTAGAAAGATCTGGATTCCTGAGGGTAAATGGAATAAACTTGGGATGTTTATTGATCTTCTCAAGGACATGCACCGTGAATGTCACAGCATTTGGCAACACTAAAAATATTTCAGTGAGGTGTTTTCCTCATGTTCTTACACTTTCTAGGGATGAAGCTGCTTTCATTTCTTGTACAGAGGTAGAGGTCAACATGTCAGAGGGTAAATGTGGGGCTGCAGGTATTTAGTTTCTTAATGGAGGTGCCTCAAATTGTGATATGGCACAGGGTGGGACACTACCTTCTTGGTAGAGCTGTGCCACACTAGGAACTGCTCCCTGGCAGGGAAGGGCACACTCTGGAAGGAGAGGTGAGAGTATCAGAGAGAGAAATGATGTGGAAGAAAGCGTCAGGATGGTGTGGGTAACCCTGCCAGCCGAAACGCTGCCCCAGGACCTGCCCAGGTCTCATCTCTGCGGCTGTGCTGGGTGTAACACTCACCCTGTGACACCACGGAGTGGCAGCACTTGCAAACTGCAAGCAAATTCTTTGTTTTCTTTTTCTTTTTTTTTTTTTCTTTTACTCACTGCCATGCTAGCTGCAGCTGTCTCTCATGAGAGGGTGTACAGCATGTCCTGTGCAGAGCCAGGAGCTGGACTCGATGGTCCTCGTGGGCCTCCTCCAACGCGGGACAAGCTATGATTCCTGATCCAAGCACAAAGTCATGTCCTCACTAAATTGTTCTGGCAACTCGTGCCCACCCCATAGGGCTTCAGACACCCCGGCCTGTCCGTCAGGACATGTTGACTGACTTCCAGCTTCAGTGCTACACGCTCCCAAGACACTACACCACTCCATGCATGGAGCCTTATTATTATTATTATTATTATTATTATTATTATTAATCAGATTTATTATCTGTTTAGCCAGCCCTGGTGTATTGGCACAGCTTTTCCACACACTTGGGTTACGATGGGTTCAAATCGAACGAGTGGAAATTTGGGTTAGATATAAGGAAGAAATTCTTCCCTGGCACAGGTTGCCCAGAGGAGCTGTGGCTGGCCCACCCCTGGGAGTGTCCAAGGCCAGGTTGGACAGGGCTTGGAGCAACCTGAGCTAGTGGAAGGTGTCCCTGCCCATGGCACGGGGTGGAACGAGATGAGTTTAAGGTTTCTTCCCATCCAAACCATTCTGTGATTCCATTATTAAATGGCACAGAGGCAAACCAGGGCAAACCTCTCAGGGTCACATGGACTAGTATCATGCATGCAATGGGTGTTTCCTGGTTTAGCATATATGTTGCTGCTTGAGGACTTGTTACTTAAGCAAATTTTAAATAAGAAGTGTCTGTGCAAGGGCAGTTGTGTGGTTGAAGTGTTTTATGTACCAATCTGGAGGAAGCTTTGCCTACTGTGATTTTAATCCCTCTGGAGGATTTCTGTCCCTCTAAAACATTTTCTTCATGGTTTTGACACAGTCATAATTAGAAATAACCCTGTGTCTTTGCCATAGTAGAAATCCACCTTTTCTATACAATAAAAAAAAATACCAGATTTTACAGTCAAAACCCCCCTGCAATAATAAATAACATATCCCTTTCTTCACAATTTTCAAAACTGAGATTCGCTTTCAACCCTCTGCAGCATTTATACCTAGGAAGGCATATTGTGCTCCATGCCTTGCTGGGTAATTAAATGGTCAAATTTAGTGCTGGTGAAATTTAATGCAAATCGGATTTTTTAAAATCCAAATATGCTTGTACTTCTTCCCTCATGAACTTAATATATCCCAATTAATTAGATGCTTCCCTGCAACCTTTTCTATGAGACAGGTTGCCCCTGCCCCTGGACTTGAGTAACTAGGGGGCCAAATGTGCAGCTGCACTAAAACTGCTGCGGCACAGGGAAAACATGGGCTGTACGTGGGTATTGTGGAGATGCAGACGTGGTATTTTGGGCAGTGAAATCAGCAGTGGGAAAGGAAACTGTGGCGTCACTAATGGTGCATTAATTGCTCGGGCCGAATGTGCCTTACCCGCTGCAGGCGCGCCAGACCTGCTGCGGCACAAGGAGAACACGGACATTGCGCAGGTGTAGCCGTGGGTATGCCGGACAGCGAAATTACGAGTGGGACAAGAAAATCGCGGCGTTACTAACTGTGCGATGAACAGTGTCAAACCCCGGTGGTTGTGCGGTTTTCGCGCCCCGAGGTTTCAGGCGCGCGGGGAAACCCGCCGTGGGCTCGGAGGGGGCCGACCCCTGGGCGACCGGTCCACCGCCGGTCGTACCCGTCCGTCCCCCCCTCCCCCCGGTCCCCCCGGCCCATCCCAGCTCCCTGTCCCGCCTCCCGAGGCACCGCCCCGGCCCCGCCGCCCCGCCCCGGCCCGGCACAGCCCTCAGGCCCGCCCAGGGCCGAAGGCCGCAGCCCGCGGGCCGGGCGGGGCGGGCCGCCATGGCCGGTGAGTGCGGGCCGGGCCGTGAGGCCGACGGAGCCCCCGGGACCCGGGGGGGTTCGGTGCCTTCCCGCGGGGTTCGGCTGCGCGGCCGCGGGTCGGGGCTATCGATCCCCGGGGCTGGGGCGGTGACAGGCGCGCAGGGCAGAGTGCGGGGCCCCAGCCCGGGTGTCCCGCTCTGTCCACCCCCGTCCTCCGGCCGGCGCTGCGCCTGCCGAGCGCACGGGCTGCCCGGGGGCCCTGGGGGCTGCGTGTAAGCTGGTGTCACACTCCGGGGTTAAGGGCGTATTTTGCTCGCTGTTATTTTTCCTCTTCTGTTTTTAAAAGATGTTTCAGGTAGAAATGAGTTGCTGAAGTCTGCAACTTCCTGACAAGGGGGCTGTAGCCGGGTGGGGGTCGGGCTCTTCTCCCAAGCAACAAGTGACAGAATGAGAGGAAACGGCCTCAAGTTGCACCACGGGAGATTTAGGTTGGATATTGGGAAAATTTCTTCCCTGAAAGGGTTGTCAAGGCCTGGCACAGGCTGCCCAGGGCAATGGTCGAATCACCATCCCTGGAAGTGTTCAAAAAATGTGTATATGGAGCACTCGAGGACATGGTTTGGTGATGACCATGGTGGGGCTGGGTTGATGGTTGGACTCAATAGTCTTAAGCTTATTTTCCATCCTAAATGATTCTGTGATTCTCTGACTTGCTGTCAGACACTCTTGACTTCTGGTGACTTGCCAGTAGCATGTGGCAGTGGGTGAGTGTGGCTGAGGAGGGTGGCATCTTGTCTTTCACCTCTATCGCCCTTCCAGCCCAGAGGAGCAGAGCAGTTGCTCGTCGTCAGGGGTGCATTGAGTAGCTGGTGCCATCTGATCATCTCAGACCATTTCTCTGCAGCCGGAGATTCCTTCTTAAATCTTCAGCATCCCTTTCTTGGGCTCTTGAAAGGGAAAAGAACTAA